TGCAGGTGCTAGCCGAGGGACACAAGGACAGATGGCCCCCATCAGAGGCTAGGAGGAGGCAAGGAAGGATCTACCCAGAGTCCCAGAGGGAGCACGGCCCTGCTGACACATTGATCTTGGACTTCTGGCCTCCACGTCCGTGAGACGATACATTTCTGTTGTTCTAAGCCACACACTTTGTGGTTACAACCATCCTAGGACACGAATCCAGGACAAGGTAGTGACACAGTGTTTCCAAGTTTTAGCAGTTACCAAATGTCACCTTTCATTATAAAAGTGATTTGTATTTGGGTAGTGTCCACCTCATTAGGTTATCCAATTGCTTTCACTTCACATTTACTGAGCAACTCCTACGTGCCAGACCCCATAGAAGGTGCCAGAGCAACAAAAGGGGGTAAACTGGGCGACCACGGTGAAGACGGTTTTGTGAGGCGATATAAACAGGCGACTGTCACACAATGCAGGGAGTTTCATAAACTCAGATAACAGAAGTGACAAGCATTGGGGATGTACTTAGCAGGTGCCCGACACTGTGCTGGGCACCTCGTACATGTGCTCACATTTAATCCTCACACCACCCGCTGAGGGAAGGTGCTGTTATGAGGCTTCCTTTCCCACGGGGGTACGGTCGCTCAGAGGCTGAGGGACCTCCGGACTCTAGCCCAGACAGCGCTGAGTGCAAAGCCCCTGCTGGCTGCTCCAACTGGGGGTGCTCAGAGAAAGGTGCCCCTCAGAGGGGCAAGGAAGCATCATTTAAATATTCAAGGATCTTAGTCATTGAATTTCAGAAGAGCCTCCATATATAAAGATAGGCAGTGGGGTAAAGAAACTGTGGTCATCCATCCTCAGTCACCCAGGATCTGACCTCACCCGACTTCTGGGTGTGTTCCTTCAGGAAGGTGGTACACAGGTCTGAATTTTTCAAATTAGTGATGAAGAAAATATCACCTGGATCATTCCTCTGGCTAAGACTCTGTAGCACCTACTGTATTTTGAGCACGGTTCTCAGAACCGACCATGTGTGAACTCAGCTGACCCCCACCACCGCCCCATGGTGCAGGCTCTACTATCATACCCACTTTAGGAAGGAAGCCGAGACCAAGAGGGATCAGGCAAAGCACTCAGAGTCCTGGAGCTGGATTTAAACCCTGCAGTCTAGCCTAGAGTTCATGCTATTAACCACTTTGCTCTAAAGATGGACTGGGGTGGGGGGTTGAGGAATGATGATTAAAGATCAGGTCTCAGCCCCAAGCAGATACAATTAGCCCAGACATTATTCTGCTCCGATGTCTTCTACAAAGTACTGCACACATTTTCCACTTTTTTTTTCCCTCTGTCCATTTCTAATATTCTGGAATGAGCTAAAAATATAACCTACAACAACAACACAAAATAATGATATTCTCATGCTTGCAGGAAAACTTCCCTATCAGGACACACCAAGGGATGGGCAGTTTCAGCCAACAGTGATGAGATGCTAGCTAGCAATGGACAGAAAAGCCAACGGGAGAGAAGAACACAGCCGTCAAGTTAGGGAGTCACCAACTTTATGCCACATGCAGAGCAGACTCTGGATCAGTGTCCTTTGGGAGATGGGGGGGTGGACAGACGGACAGGCCTGGAGGATGGAGGAGGGGACTGAGGAGGATGTTGAGAGGCAGAGAGGGTCACAGGGAGAGCCAGGGACCCATGAGGAGCGCCTGCGGAGCAGGATGGGGCACACGGAGGAACATGCGGCCAGGAGCTTCCCTTCACAGACCCTCCTCCATTCTGCCTCTCGGGTTAGAAACCCAACCATGTGAGACTGCCATTTCTGTGGGTCAAAAATGATCATATGGGGCGCCTGGGTGGCTCAGTTGGTTAAGCGACTGCCTTCGGCTCAGGTCATGATCCTGGAGTCCTGGGATCGAGTCCCACATCGGACTCCCTGCTCAGCGGGGAGTCTGCTTCTCCCTCTGACCCTCTTCCCTCTCGTGCTCTCTGTCTCTCATTCTCTCTCTCTCAAATAAATAAAAATCTTTAAAAAAAAAAAAATGATCATATGTTGGCAATTTCTTAGGGGTTCCATGTATATACATAATCCCAGAGTAACACTGGCAAAGTTGAAAGAAGTGTTGATCATGGGGCGCCTGGGGGGCTCAGTCGGTAGAGCGTCCGACTCTTGATTTCAGCTCAGGTCGTGATCTCAGGCTCGTGGGATCGAGCCCCTCATCGGGCTCCGTGCTCAACAGGGAGTCTGCTTGAGATTCTCGCTCTCCCTCTCCCTCTGCCCCTCCCCTGCTCGCATGCGGGCTCTCTCTCTCAAATAAGTAAATAAAATCTTTTTAAAAAGCGTTCATCGTGAAGTGTAAAATCACCTATAATTTTTGTAACCTTTGCCATTTCTCCCCCTTTTCCCCTCTCCTTCCCCCAGTCCTCTCTTCTCCTTTATCCTCTGCCCCCTCTCCTTCCCTCCCTTTGTATTTTAAACAGTATCAGGAGTCTAATGATCACACTTACTCATCACTTGGAGAGCATTTCATGAGAAAGATTCAAATGCCCGTGTGCACACGTGTATTGTGTACATATGTGTACTGTGCGCACATGCATGCATATTACATACACTTACACGCACATTGTGTGTGCACATATGCACATTAGCATGTATATCGCATACATGCACGTCTATGTTGCACGCACGCACATATACCGGCTGCACGTGTGTTGTGTACACACATATATTGTGTATGTGTGCATGTATACTGCATGCATATGTACATTGTGTGCATGCATGTGCACACGGCACACACACGTATGGTATATACGTGTAGTGCACACACATATAGTGTCCATGCACGTGTACTGTGTACATGTGAGTATACCGTGTACACACATGGGTATTGTGTTCACGTGGAAGGAAGGACAGAAAGTGTCTTCCCTTGGTGGCCATGCCTGCGTGACACGCTGGACAAAAGCGGCTCCCACCCTCACCGTTATCACCAGCTGGCTGCTCAGAGGTCACGCGGCCAAACCTCAAGCTCAGCGCTGGTGGGAGAGGGAAGAGACAAGGGGTTGAGGAGGCCACAGCGGCCACTGGGGCCCTGGGCTCAACCGGAGTCACAGTGCACGGCAGGGTTCTGCGATACGGAAGTGCTTGATAATAAAGGAAAATCCCCTTTGTGCTACCCGAGTGCCTACCAGCAACTCAGGTGCTCAGGAGGCAAAGAAAATGAATGGCCCAGAAGGTAGGGTGTGTGCCTTGTGGCCAGGAATGCAGGCCAACAAGCCCGGCTCAGATCCCACGCTACGGCCTCCTGGCCGCAGGAGCCTGGGCAGGTTTCTCCTCGAGGCCCTCGGCTGTCCCGTGTTCGCGTGTAAAAGGAGAGGCGGTGGGTCCAGCTCCAGGCTGTTGTGTTTAAATGGGACAAAGAGTGGGAAGCGCCCCGCAGCACCGAGTCTTAGACACAGAAGGTACCAAAGCACGCCGGGGGACTGAAGGCCCTGAAACTGCTCTCCCCAGAAATCTAGAAAGTCTGCCCAAGGGAGATCAGGTGTAGTCTGCATAGCAATGGCTCTACTGGTCTTTTGAGGAGTCACTTCCAGCCCACGATCTCCCTTCCTGCTGAAGTCGCACCATCCTTAGCCCCGGGGTGCGGGGTCACAAGGAGAGGTGGAACCAAGCCCCAGATTCTGAGGCAGGGCCCCTTATCTTTGGCGCCTTGATTTAAAACAATGACATTTTTTTAGTCTCAAAGCCAGGCTTTTAGGCACCCTGCCAACAGGCAAGATGACGGGTTCCCTTCAGAGGGCCCCGATTCCCATTGTGTAACTTAGAACCTGGGGGTAAATGCAAAACAATAAACCAGCTGCGTCTTTCAGACAGTGCAATTTGCAAGAAGTGCTTTTACTTCTTCACAGGACTCTGCATTAAGCCAGGACTAATTAACTGCTACATTAAAGGAAAGCACCTTTAACATTTCAATGACATAATCATATGTAATTATGATCATATAAAGGAACAGTTTATAATTAATGATGTCTCCACTTCCTGAAATGTGTAATCCTTCTGTCTTGAATTCCAAAGAGGTTGGCAAAAGGCAGGCACTAAATATAGATCAGGAACTAATATTTAAATCAGCTTTTAATTCACCTTTCAATATGAACAGCAAAACCAGAACAAAAGCTTACCCTTATTAGGACTCTAAGTCTTTATGTCTATGAAGCTAAATATACAGCAACAACAGATCCACGCAGAGATGGCCAAAATTACAGGCCTGAAATGATTACCTCTAAATAGCAATAATTTTGCCCTAGCAGGCACATTAACTGCTTTTTCAGAAATGCATTAAAACTCACCCCAACTGCCCTTGCTTGGCAACTGGGCTGCGTTACACTTAACAAAGCACTCTGACTCCTCTCTGTGACTTAAAAAGGAAAATGGCTTTTCTTTTAATTAGGGAAATTTCCCACGAAGGTGAAAACCCTGGGGTGGTAGCAAGCATTGTTCTAAGCACTGAACATGTTTATCTTCATAAGAATCCCGAGATGGTACTATTATGATCCCCCTCGAATAAAGGAGGACACCAAGGCCCTGAGCTGTTAAATAACTTGCCCAGGCTACCAAATTCCCAGGAAAGACCCGTCTGAGTGAACTACAAACCAGACGGGATACACAGACTTTCTAGATCTTAACATTTGTTCTGTCACTCAAGCAACTGACCATGAGGGAGGCCCGAGAACCTCTACAACTAATTTCTGTTGTTAGCAAAGGTTTGCCGCAACCATAAGGGAAAATGCAGAGGGAACAAAATTCAACCCACTGGAACACCCAAAGGGCTTCTAAGAAAAAAAAAAAATCCCTATGGCACAGCTTTCCCCTCTACCAGAAAACCCTGTATCAACTGCCTCCATTTGATGTTTCTAATTTGCTTCATGGTCCACGATTATCTGCTTTCACCAGGGAAATGTGCAGGTGGCGCGCCACCCACCCAAGACTGTCTCCCGGAGGGTCAAGGGTTTACCTTGTCATAATAGTATCGAAGGGCTCTGCTCAGCTTATCATAGTTCATGTTTGTTTTGTTCTTCCGGAGGCCCCACAGTTTGGCCACTTCTTCTGCTTTGAGGAGCTTGAATTCACCATCGTTGGAGGTCCAGCAGATCAGATGCTCATGTTTCTGGTCCAGCAGCAGCTGCAACAGGAACTGCCACAGTGTGATTGCACTCTCCATACCTGGGGGAAAGGGGGCCAGGTCAGAGCCGTCAGCACAGGTGCCCACCCAGGATGGCGGGAGGGGGCCTCGGGACGCATGCCTCAGCTCCTGCCCTCCCTCCCCCAGGGAACCCAACAAAACGCCACTTGAGCTTCAATCCCACAGGCCACTCAGACTCGGGTGCCTTCTAGATGCATTTTTGTAAACAGCCACGATTCAGAAATAGAGGGAAGCCCTGTGATCCCTACAGTCACGACACATGTCCCCTCCGGCTGCAGCATCGGAGGAACATGCAAGAGGGATTAATGAACCTCCCACTTGCACAATGAGTCCCCATTCTAGCGAGTCCCCTCTTAACACAAGAGTCTGTTCCCACTCAGACTCTCAAGTCCTTTGTTGGTCAGTCTCTGCGTCCGTGATTTGCTGTGAAATCTGGACCCCATGATGAGTGTGTTTAGGGAGGGGGCTGGGCTCCATCAGTCAGCCTAACTACTTGCCCTGCTGCTCAGGGAAGGGTCTTTGTCAGGTTGCTCGGTGTCTCCCCAGGACTTTGAAACCGAGCACAGTGCCCACATGTCGCAGGGGCCCAATGGACAAAGGTTTGTGAACTGAAGGATCACCACTACCACGTGAAGAGCCCTTCGCTTCCCCAGACATTTGTCACACAGCAGATCAAACCCACAGCCACACCTGCTCCAATGGGAAAAGCATTTTTTCCCTGCTATGAGAGGATTAGAAAATACTCTCTTTTCCTTTGACTCTGGTGTGGACTTTGTAAGTGCTCTTCCTTCTGTCTAAAATGCTGTTCCCTATCCTTGGAGCCTGGTAAACTCCTACTTACCTGTGACGACCCAGTCCTAAGGGAGTCTTCTCGAAGAAATTTTTCCCCACTCTCCCAGTCAGTTCTTTATCTTCAGACATTTGAGGACTTTCATGGCAATGGGTACTGATTCTACTACTACTACTAATGCACTTAGTTTATCCACAGTCATTAAATTAGTAGGTAATAGGGATTAAGGAGGGCACTCAACATGATAACCATTGAGTGTGTCTGCAATTGTTGAATCACTATATTGTATGCCGGAAACTAATCTAACACTGCATGTTAACAATAGTGGAATTAAAATAAAATTTAAAAAATAAAAATAAATCCTCTCAACGAAGGAAAAAAAAAAAACCACACGTTCGTTACATGAGGAAAGAAGAGGTGGTTGGTCTGGACTTGAAACCTTGCACCTCAGGAGACCTGTCATGGTTGGACACATCAAGTGCCCAGGCTCTTAATCTGGGCAGGATGGGAGTGAGTTGAGGGGTGCTGGGTTGAGGATGCCAGGGACAACCAGAGGGTAGAAAATTGGGTTCTGGCTGGAGAAAGCTTCAAAGGCAAGCTGGGAGTGGGGACCAAGCCAGAGAGAATTAGGGTTCACCCCCCAATGATAGCAACAAGGAGACGCCGAAGCTGAGGTGCACTGAGCAAGGTGTGTGAGTCCAGGAGACCTGGTAGCCAGGATAACTTCCTTCAAGGACCCCTTTGGGCCAATATTTGTGTTAATTCCACAATGCCCCCCATGCATTCTTCTTAAAGTGGCAGCTTTCAGACTGACAAGTTACTTTTCTCCTGCATGGGGATGGATGTGAAAGCACCTCGCCATCCAATAAGTATTCACTTCCTTCTTCCTTTTCACACGTTTAGCCGAAAGAACACGTGTTATTTTTTCTCTAAGCAACCATGGGCTCTTCAGTTAAAGGAAAGCAGATTAGGAATGTTCTCCAAAACCCCATAAGGCATTTTATTTATGGCTCTTTAAACGAGACAGTCTTTACAGAAATCAATGTTCACCACAATGGCCACTGGGTCTGTGAGACAGTAAATCATGTCACTGTTAGATCAAAACCGCCCCTGCATCTCATGAGTCTTGTAAGCACAGCTGCTATGATGTGTGGCAGCTTGCTGGCCTGGGTTCCTAATATGAACCACCCTTCCGATTATTTGTGGATGAGCCACAAGCTTGCTCCTCATCATTGGCACTAAGAATTGCTAACAGTCGTCTCAAATTTTTTGGGGTGTTCTTTTGGCCAAAGGCTTCAGACAGTAAGCTTTAAAATATCTTTGAAACTTTAAGCAGATGCTCAGAGGAACCTGCTCCAAAGGGCAGAAGGCTGCCCGTGGGTCTGGAGGTCTGGAGGGAAGGGGTGGGCCGGGCCTCTGGCTCATGCACCAAGGAGGAAGGCGGTCAGCCACCTGCACATTAATGGACTCAAACCAGCATGTTCCAGATGGAACAACAGAAACCTATTCGTGTATTTGAATGCATTTACACTTAATGCTTCTACCAACCAGGACTCCTTGGAGCTTCTCATGCTGCCCGGATCCCTGTTCATGGCACTCCCACCCCAGGTATGAGAACCATGTTCTCTGGGCATAACTTAGGAGGATGAAATGTTCTCGAGCTTTCCCTCCTTCTCCCATTCAAGTGACCGTGCAGCAGTGCAAGAGAATGGAGTGCTTTCTTCCCACCCCACTGAAATCTGGGCTTGACCATACGATCCCATTTGGCCAACACAATGTTCACTAGAAGGGATAACCATGCTGATTCTGAGCCAAGGTCTAAGAGGCTCCACGTGTTTGCACTTTTCCTCTCATGCTCCTGTCACTGTTGTGAGGCTACTGACCCAAAATTAGATGCATGGAGCCAACGGGAGCTCAACCCAAAGCCTGGAGCCCAGGCCCATGACCCACAGGCTAAGGCAGCAACCCTGAGGCTCACTGCAAGAAACATAAATGGCGCGGTTCGCCAAGGACATGTGGGGCGGTTTGTTAAGCGGCACCAATGCAGCCAAAGTTGACTATGACAACGTCCAATGTTTTTGCTTCAAAAATTTCTCTTTGCTCGAGTGCCATTATCTTTGCACTGTAGGGCTTGCATTCACAATCATGAGGTGCGTCTAGACATGAAAAAACATGCTGCCTGATGCAGGGGGCGTTGGCTGACTGAGGGCCACCAGCCGGCCAAGGGACAACCGTGGGTGCTATGGCCATGGACTTAGCGAAAGGTAGAAGGAAGGAAGGAAAGACAAGGGAGATGAAAAAGAGTAGAGGAGCAAGTGGTGGGTGTGGGGCCGTTAGGGGCCCCCTGGATTTCTGGAATAGAGGAACTGGGCCAAGGGAAGGCATGGAGCTGTGAACTAGGCATCACAGAGCTACCTCTGACAAGTGCGTAGAGACCAGCAGGGTGGCGCTGAGCCCCCAGCTGGGCGGGCCTTGGACCTTCCCTTCCTTCCCCCTCACCTCGCCCACACCGAGGTGTCACAGTCAGGCTACCGCTGAGGACGGGAGGATTCCTTAGAAACGTGACTGCCACCACTCTCCAGGAGGAGACCTCGGCATCAAGCCACTCCTGCCTAAAGCACAGCAAGCCGGTGCTGGGGCCCTCGTCCTCCCATTCCCCAGCTCCGTTGGCCAATCCTGTGCCCTCACTGGTCTTCCAGTTTCGATGACTGTAGAGCACACACCTTTATTGTTGGATATCCCAGCCACACGCTACTCAGACACAAGTCCCAGAAACCTGTCCCTGTGAGTTTATAATCCCACCTTCGAACAGGTCACCCCCTTCTACACGGGCAGAGGTAATTCTGGGATACAGTGGGGGCCAACGTGACTCCGGGCCCTCCCACCACCTCTGGCCAGAGCCATCCAGGTGATTAAAACGCAAGAGCATATGTGGGCAACAGGAGACAGAGGCCCCAGCTGACATCACCGTGATGGTTCTCTCCATTCGAGGGCACTCACCGTGCTTTTAGTTCCAATCTTAATTTATTTTAATTATGATTAAATACGTTTAATCATCATTTACACAGTTGTTTCCACATACAATTATGCTTCACATTCTATCACCTCTCTGCCTCCAACAAATTCTGCCCCCTCTGGGACACTGGAAAAGATTCTAACGTCAGGACTGGGAAGCATGCCCTTCCAACAATGACCAACATATTCGCAAATTCATCCAAATGAGTATTTCTATCACCAGAAAAAAAGCTTTGAAATTAATTCTTTTTTAATTCTTTGACGCCTAGAATCTTTAATGAAGCGCTAGGTCTTAACATGCAGGTACAATAAAGTCCGATTAATCTGGCTGCCATCATTAGGAACGTGGGTGATTCAGACTGCACACTGTGGCTCTTATTAAGCAAAAAGTTCAAGAAAGTGTTGATACTTGAAATTGATGTTTGATACATTATTATGCCAACGGAGACCTGCTTTAAGTTAAAATATTTCATCAGCCTAACCTTCTGTAGCCGTGTCCCCACAATCCCCTGCTTAAAATACACAGAACACACGAAAGAAATTGCTACAAAGCTTTTAAAAATATTCCCCAAATCAAATTTTTGCTAATAAGAAAATGCTTCTCTTTCCCCTTCCCCTGCCCAGACCTTATTTTGAATGTATACAGTTTGGTCTGGTCTTGTCACGCCATTCTTTACGCAAAAATCAAACTCTGCACTTTGAGATTTAGGAGGATCAGTCCGCTTCTGCTCTTACAAGAAGAGGTGCCCCTCAGCATCAGACACTGTGCCTTCCGCGGGGTCCCCCTCAAAGACGGCAGTCACACCCTGGCTAGACCCACCTCCAGGCCACTCCAGAGAACAAAGCCACCAGCTGGTTGTCCCCTGCTCTGCTCTCCCTTTGTAATTTACAGCCCAGATCTTGCCACACTGGAGTTTCGTTAGATATTTAAAACAGCTTGTCCAATTTGAATAATATGCATACTTCCTTTTAAAGGAGTGAGGAAAAAAATAGGTTGCCCGTGTTGACAAATTATTTTCATTAAAATTTTTATTATATTCTCCCTTCGATATAAACAAGACTGGATATAAACTCAAGGTTTATGATTCTTATATAATGATAAAATGAAGTTTACAAATTAGATGCCTCCTGTGCCCCATTCAAATTACTGAGTAATTTCACATATGATAGATCATGCTTTGTTCAAAGATGTCCCACATTCACGGAAAGGTTATG